AAAAACTCATAGAGCTAAAGACAAGAAACCATTATATTTGGTGCAGTCATCGGACAGCTTCTTTGGACGATACAACTGTTTGAGTCGTTCTCGAAGTGCAGGGTCAGATTCACTCATGTAGAAGACCTCTGTTTGGAAGCCCAGCTTCCTAAGTACGCAGGCAATCGACACTTGGTAATTGTTTTGAACTGGTTTTACTGTAACAGTAACAGTGACAGGAAATTGAAATTTGGTATGGACTCATTCAAATGACTCCATCATATGTTCCGAGTAGCTTGCAGCATGGCACAAGGGGCCCTAGCCCTGCGCAGTCTTCTGCTACAACCAACTTTTTTTTGGGGGCTGGCATCGATCCCGCTCACAGACCCTTATGAGCCAAATGTTTAAACAAGAAATGAACGAATTGATTTTTCAACATTGCAGCCCTATTGCGATCTTTGTGACATAGTAGGCATCATGGCTGTCTACTACTAAAGCAGCTTGAGAACTTTTTGACCCCCGATCCAAGCAGCTTCTTCTACAGCCCGCTCTCAGCCATACCCGGGTCAGCCGATTAGACAGTGTATGATAAGTTGGGGGTTCAAATTCAATAAAATCATATTATTATTCTTGTAAACAATCTAACCTTGCAACGCTCCACTGGGCTTGGCTCATTGAAGTGGGGCCTGCTTAGGTTTTCAGCTTTTCACATCATCTTTTTCAGCTTTTCCATGACCTTGCTCGCCTTCTTTGTGCCCGCCTAAAAGGGGGGAAGTGCCCCAGAAATTAAAAGCTGGACCTGGTTTTTCAAATTAACAGTGGGGCAGTGGGGCACCTTGGGGCGTCCCGTTGCCTTTGCTTTTGCCTTTGGCTTCTTGCCTTTTCCACGTCCCTTTGCCTTCGCCTTGGCCTTTGCTTTGCCCGCTGCCTTTCTCTTCTGTCCCCTCTTCTCTGGTTCCTCATCATTGTCCTCATCCTCCTCATCCTCTTCCTCCTCCTGTTCTCCTTCATCCTCATCCTCATCTTCGTTTTCATCGTCCTGGTCTTCTTCCTCCTGTTCTTCTCCTGCATCCTCATCCTCATCTTCGTTTTCATCGTCCTGGTCTTCTTCCTCCTGTTCTTCTCCTTCATCCTCATCTTCATTCGGCTCTTCTGCTTCTTCCTCAGCTGCCTGCCAGAACAGGCTACTAACTACAGTGTGACCAGTTTTCATGCAAATAGTCTTGGTTGCTAAGTTCAATCCAATCAATGATAGCTATAGTATGTTATAGTTCCATCATCCTTAATTAGGTTTATGGCGGTGGAATGGACAACCGACTGACAATGACAGGGGAACATCATGTTCACCTTGGACTTTTTGCGATTCTTCGGCTTCTTCTGCACCAAGGCCAGGAGTGAGGGCTCAAAAATGCTGGACTCGGGGTCCAGCATGCCTTCCCAACATTTGGTCTCCAGGTGTCTCAGAAGGAACTTGACCTGAAGTGTATTTTTCAAGGACTGAGGATTCAGAAATTATGATAGTCTGATGATAATCACCAATCAGGTGGGAAGACATGGCAAGTCCACATAGTCAACTAAGTAGCATGGTCTTCGGTGAAGCAAATGCCAATGTAAGCTACCCTTTGCAAGATAGCTTCCCAGGCGGTCTTCCCGTCGCCTCGGTGAACCGCAGAACTTGTTTGGGAAAAGGTGGTTTTGATCCAACTTTTGGGAAATGGTTGGTTCATCCTTTTTTGGGGCCAAGTAACAGCAGGACAAGTCCAACATCGCCGAGATATTGAACTCATGAAATATCTCCGATACCTTGACCACAGCTGGGTTGTATTTGTCCCCCAAGAAGGATGGGATGGTTAAAGCGATATCAGCACAGACTTGAAAAATGTCAATTCAGAACAACCTTTTGCCTTGCTGACAAAACACCTTTTCCGAAGGCAGCGAATGGAATGCCACCGGCTCCACATCTGCATCCTTGCGCCGGACACCTTAGAAGCAAGGGCTCTGATTGATTGGGTCGGAGTTGTTGCCTGAGGGAATGAATTTATTATGCATGATGGAAATTGAAACAATGATAATGTTTGCACCTGATTAAAGAGATGGTACCCTATTGTGAGAAATTTCTTGCTCCTAATTCAGTCACATGCCAATTGTTGGGGGGGGGCCTCTATTGTGAGAATTTTTTTCCAGATTTGTTTTTTTTAAACATATTTTTCCAAATGCTTTAATTAACTTTACTTTTCTTTTTAATTATTTTTCTATTTATGATTATTTTTAATTAATTTTATTTTAGATGCCTTATCAAACCCTTATTAAAAAAACAGCATCCAGACAATTTTTCAAAGGGGTAACTCATGAGTGGCTCAGTTACTCAATAATATAATTGTTTGGATGGTACTCTATTGTGAGCACCAACTTTTGGGATTGAAAAAAAAACAAAACCCTTTCTCCACCTTTCTTTGGGTAAAGCTGGCCCTTTCACTTTAGAAAGCCATATTCGTGTTAAAGCTTTAAAATGCAAGGTTTACCAAACAATTAGATGCCTTAGTAAACCCTTATTAAAAAACAGCACTCAGACAATTTTTCAAGGGGGTACCTCATGAGTGGCTCAGTTACTGAATAATATAATTGTTTGGATGGTACTCTATTGTGAGCACCAACTTTTTGGAGTGAAAAAAAAAACGAAACCCTTTCTCCACCTTTCTTTGGGTAAAGCTGGTCCTTTCACTTTAGAAAGCCATAGTTGTGATAAACCTTTAAAATGCAAGGTTTACCAAATAATTAGATGCCTTATTAAACCCTTATTTAAAAACAGCATGCAGACAATTTTTCAAGGGGATACCTCATGAGTGGCTCAGTTACTGAATAATATAATTGTTTGGATGGTACTCTATTGTGAGCACCAACTTTTGGGAGTGAAAAAAGAAGCAAAACCCTTTCTCCACCTTTCTTTGGGTAAAGCTGGTCCCTTTACTTTAGAAAGCCATATTTGTGGTAAAACTTTAAAATGCAAGGCTTTCCAAATATTTAGATGCCTTATTAAACCCTTATTAAAAAACAGTATGCAGACAATTTTTCAAAGGGGTACCTCATGAGTGGCTCAGTTACTGAATAATATAATTGTTTGGATGGTACTCTATTGTGAGCACCAACTTTTGGGAGTGAAAAAAGAAACGAAACCCTTTCTCCACCTTTCTTTGGGTAAAGCTGGTCCTTTCACTTTAGAAAGCCATATTTGTGTTAAAGCTTTAAAATGCAAGGTTTCCCAAATAATTCGATGCCTTATTAAACCCTTATTAAAAAACAGCATCCAGACAATTTTTCAAGGGGGTACCTCATGAGTGGCTCAGTTACTCAATAATATAATTGTTTGGATGGTACTCTATTGTGAGCACCAACTTTTGGGAGTGAAAAAAAAAGCAAAACCCTTTCTCCACCTTTCTTTGGGTAAAGCTGGCCCCTTTACTGTAGAAAACCATAGTTGTGTTAAAACTTTAAAATGCAAGGCTTTCCAAATAATTAGATGCCTTATTAAACCCTTATTAAAAAACAGCATCCAGACAATTTTTCAAAGGGGTACCTCATGAGTGGCTCAGCTACTGAATAATATAACTGTTTGGATGGTACTCTATTGTGAGCACCAACTTTTTGGAGTGAAAAAAAAACGAAACCCTTTCTCCACCTTTCTTTGGGTAAAGCTGGTCCTTTCACTTTAGAAAGCCATAGTTGTGGATAAAACTTTAAAATGCAAGGTTTCCCAAATAATTCGATGCCTTATTAAACCCTTATTTAAAAACAGCATGCAGACAATTTTTCAAAGGGGTACCTCATGAGTGGCTCAGTTACTGAATATAATTGTTTGGATGGTACTCTATTGTGAGCACCAACTTTTTGGAGTGAAAAAAAAAACGAAACCCTTTCTCCACCTTTCTTTGGGTAAAGCTGGTCCTTTCACTTTAGAAAGCCATAGTTGTGATAAACCTTTAAAATGCAAGGTTTACCAAATAATTAGATGCCTTATTAAACCCTTATTTAAAAACAGCATGCAGACAATTTTTCAAGGGGATACCTCATGAGTGGCTCAGTTACTGAATAATATAATTGTTTGGATGGTACTCTATTGTGAGCACCAACTTTTTGGAGTGAAAAAAAAAAAACGAAACCCTTTCTCCACCTTTCTTTGGGTAAAGCTGGTCCTTTCACTTTAGAAAGCCATAGTTGTGATAAAACTTTAAAATGCAAGGTTTCCCAAATAATTAGATGCCTTATTAAACCCTTATTAAAAAACAGCATCCAGACAATTTTTCAAGGGTGTACCTCATGAGTGGCTCAGTTACTCAATAATATAATCGTTTGGATGGTACTCTATTGTGAGCACCAACTTTTGGGAGTGAAAAAAAAAATGAAAGTAAATTAAAAGTAAATTGAAATCAATTGAAAGTAAATTGAAATCAATTGAAAGTAAATTGAAAGTAAATTAAAAGTAAATTGAAATCAATTGAAAGTAAATTGAACGTAAATTAAAAGTAAATTGAAATCAATTGAAAGTAAATTGAAAGTAAATTAAAAGTAAATTGAAATCAATTGAAATCAATTGAAATCAATTGAAAGTAAATTAAAAGTAAATTGAAATCAATTGAAAGTAAATTGAAATCAATTGAAAGTAAATTGAAATCCTTTCTTAAGTTGATTGACCAAAAAAATGTTGAGGGGGGGGCAAAAAAAAGTGCGAGTTATAGAGTATCCTCAAATTGTTTAGGGGGGGGGGCCCTCACACTAATCAGATGCAAACATTAAATGACATAAATTTAAAATGAGCAATTTAATCATCATGTTCCATCATGTATCATGCATACATGGCACCCTTTTGCTGGTCGTTGGCAACCTCATCAGGCTTTCCACCCACGGCAATCCGGTTGACAGCTCCATAAAGTACCTTTTTCTCGGCGTAGGTCATTGACCAAGTCTCCTTTTCATCCTTGGCTATTTATGGAACAACAGTTACTGATGAACATTCAGATGCGAGTGGCTTCAGAATCTACTAATTGCATCAAAGTTTCGTCCCAAGCAGGGGCAAGGATTGGTCCGATACAATCCCCATGGGATGTGCCAGCATAGTGCTTTCTCTTCTTGTACACCAGGCCAGCTTCCTCTGGCAGGATCAGGAAAAGACGCTCTAACTGATTCACATGGCTGCCTTTGTTTCTCTTCTTTTTCTGACGAATTGAACGTTCATCCCAAAAAAGAAACTTGGTTGTCTTCCACTTGGGCATATTGCCAGCCGTCGCGCTTGGCTTTATGGCTCCAAGCAGAGTGGATTGTAGTCCTGAGTGCATATTAAAAAAAAAACTGAGTGGCTGAATGTGTTCGGATTCTTTCACAAGACCCAACTGCCAAATGCGAACAAGATACCGTCTCTTCCTCCATCCAGAATCAGCATGCAGTCACCAGGGCGTATGGTTCCATTTTCCTGCCTAAGGCCGAGCGCGGCCTGGAAGAGCTTGTTGTGGCGATTTTCACGCAGAGGCGGCAAACGCAAAGAGGGCTGTGTGCCCGCTTCTCCACAAACCTTGCTGTCCTTAATTTGGGATGATGTAGGCACCTGGTAAACCTACAAACATTGACAGTTTACCATTGTTACCACACACCAGACATCATCAGTGATTAATGCTGTCAAATTTCAAAGTAGATTGCCACCGATTTGAAGATCTGGTTCCTGAGTACGTGGTCAATGACGCGTGAGATAGGTAAGTTTACTGGTATGTCGTCATCATCAAACTTTTTAATTATCCAAGTCTCGTTTCGGGATCAAGTTCTCCCTTCCATTTGGGAAACGCAGTGGTTTCCAGAGCCTTTGTCATTGCCTGGACATTGTCCTGACAAATGCGGTTTCAAAAAAAAAGATAACGGGAGCACCAAACACCAAGACATATTTCCATAGTTGAGAACTCCTCTTCAACGATCAGCTTCACGTGCGTTCGGACCATGTTGCAAGCTTTCTGTCTGAACCTAAGTCATTTCAAGCTGGGCATCCCTTTGGTGTAACTATATGTTATTTGTGTTTTAACTGTCCATGATTTGTTTTTTATAATTTTATCCACAGAGTTGAGCATCTAACGCTTCTACCTTCCGCAAGGTCTCCTCATCTAGTTTCGCACTCTCATCAGATGTAGTGCAAGCCTGTCCCCTCTTGGTCTTCAAGATCGAAGGGGGCACCTGGACTGGTAAGGGGCATCCAGAATCATTGGGGTTGATTGCAAATGATTTAACCCTCAGAATCAGTATCACTAGCTACCCCCCAAACCTACACCCTAACCATTTTTTGACCCTATCACAATTGCCTTGAGATGGCTGGTTCCCTTCTCATCCTCGGCTTCCTCCGGCAGGTTCTGCGGCACCATCTCAACATCGTCCTCGTCCTCAGCAAGATCCTGGTGAAAAGACTGAGGCTATCTATTTTGAAGTCAGAATGATGGTTCTTAATGATAAGATTCATACCTAGAGAAAAGATGCTTGTAGAATCGGCATTAATGATAATAACACTTAAATTAAACTATATAATAATATGATCATCATTTCAATCATGCCTTGAAAAAACTTGATACCTTTGAACTGATGGTGATGATGGTTAACATTATTTGTTTGTCAAATAGGGAATGGTTCAAACATCAAGAGACATGGGATCATTTTGGTTCCTGACCATCATCAACAATCTAACTGAAAATCACAATTTCTGACTACGGTCCTCCCCTTGTTTTTTTCTTGGTCTCCTTGATCTCTTTGTTCGCTTGCCTCAGGACGTTTTATAGCCAGGCTAGTGACAATCATAGCCAGTAGTTTGCATTTGAAAAATGTACTGCTAGCAAGCAACTCTTTGACCAGATTGAGCCGGTTCTCGATTTCAGAGTTGGAGATCCATTCAGGAGCCTTGGCCGTATTTAGGTGTTATTTTCTTGGCTTGATTGATAAAATGTTTACTACCAATGGCAATGAGACGTCATTCATTACTCTTCTCACTCTTGAACAATGTAAATCAAGAACCGCCTTCCTGTGCCGCACCATGTTTTTGAAAGTTGTCTCGAAGGTGTTGTTGAACAGGATATCCTGATGGACAAAAACGGAACCCCCAACCACCACAGAAAAGATAACAGTGTTCATGTTGTTGTAGAAACCGGCCTCCAGAAAAGACCAGAAAATTTCTGCCGATCTGGGCCAACCTGCCCTCCAGGTCAAATCCTTCTTCTCGTTCGCGTAGCCGCACTTCCTCAGACACAGGCGTGCTGGGAACGGAACATAATTACAGGTTTCGGCTTATCCCTGGGAGTGCTGGGAATTGAAGTTACAAGGCAAGACACTTCCTGTAAGTTCCATGATCTTGGCAAACACTTTTCATCTCGGTCACAAGGTCAGATGACCAGCCATAGTCCCTTAGTCGCGTGGCCGATGGGGAGTTGTTGATGGCTTTCATTGTCACTGAAACTATCAAATACCATCGTATGTCATGACTGAAATTTGCCAAGAGATGATGATTTGAATATTTTTTAAATTTCAACCGGGACAAGCAACGGGACTATCTTCGCAAAGAGGTACTCCCGCAAGTCAAGCTGCCCAATGAACATGTCGCAAGTCCCCTTGCCATGAAGGGAATTGTAGATGCCTCTCCATGTCAGCATCTCAGGGCTGAGGTGCCCGTTTTTCCAGCCGTCATACCTTAGTAAACCAGCTGGCAAATTTATAGGAATTTCTACTTCAATCATCAATGCCAAAAATGGCGCTTTATTATTATTGACAACTTTCAAATACCATTGAGTAGATCAAGTTACATTGCAAACAGGCTCCATTCCACATTACGAGCTGACTTGGCCCTGTTCAAGATCAGCTGTAACTTGGTGTGATTGTTGAAAGGATTGGTCTCGGAGTCAGTTTCATCTGCCTCGAGCAGCAGGTCCAACAGCTTGCGTGACGAGAAGACACGTTTCGACAAGGCAATGGAAGTCTCCACAAAGCTCTCCGTTACCTGTTCGGGAAGATCAGAGGGCTGGGGATAATACATTATTTAAAATGTGACATTGACAGTTGAAGTTGGGGTGTGAACAAACCAGCCTGTTCGCTTGGACTGCTAGCATTGAACTGCTGCGTGTACATTTTCGCAAAGGCTTCGCTGCCTTTGCTCAATCATCAAAAATGGCAATGACGCTTGAAAACAAAGTATTACCTATGCAAAACAATCGAAACACTAATTGCAGATTGTTCACTGAGAGGTCCTGAAACCTTTTCCATCCTTTGTTTGCAGGTCAGGACCGAGAAGATCTTTTGGAGGCACGTGTGGGACATTGCCTCCTTGTCCGTCTTCAAATCCTGTCGATAGTTGGTCGCGAGGAAGTAGAGATCGGTGTCACTAGTCGCCACAATGTACTCGAACTCCACCTGGTGTGAATTGTTGGGAACCAAGCCCCCATGAACTTTTGGCATTATGTTTTTTTTAAGACAGATTGACTTGTGGGAGCTTAGTGACAACCTGAATCCTATTTGAGGCACCCCAAAAGCCCTGTGATCCCCTGAAAGATGCACAGTTCCTTTTTTGGGTTAGGTCGCTTTTGCCACTCTTTTTAGCGTGCAGAGACTTCCATGGAACCTCAAAGAATTAGACAATTGAATTGACATTTGGTTTCATTTGGTTTCACCTTGCAACAGCCTAAAAACAGCTAAAGTGGCTCTAGTCGGCATATAACTTAAGACAAGGAGCGGCCAAAGCAAAGCGCTTCCATTTCTCCATCTTATCTTCCTCGAGGTTGTCCCGGTAAATGGACCTAAGCTGCAACAGGTAGAGCGAATCAAAACCAGGGCCACTTGGTTTCAGTGGTGATTTGAAATGATTTGAAATTTTGAATGGCTTTTGACAAAATAGAATTTGAATATTTTCATTTGGATAAATCAAGGGACAAAAGAAACGCCATGATGTTCTCGGGTGGGCTGACCGGCTTGGCCTTCTGCGGATCGCAGGACAAGTGCCAGTCCGGTGCAATGGCCACCCGGATCCGGGTGTGGAACCTAGCAGGTTCCTCGTAGTACCGACGCCCCAACTCATTGATGCTGGACTGCCTCAGCGGAACCTCAATGAGCATATGGGTGATTATGTTTATCACATTATGGGGTATTATGCAAGTTAAGTTACCTTTTTGAAGTAATACGAGAAAGGACTGAGTTTGTGACACTGGGGTCAGGGTTGAACATCAAGTCACATGCGAAGAGGGACTGGCTGCAGACATAGCTTGATCCATTCGGCTGCCCATTGGTAAACAAGGCATTCTTCAGATCTGCAACGTCGAAAACAGCCTCAGAACAAACATTTAAGATGTCAAAAATATGCAGTGATCATCCTGAATGTTGTCATTGGCATTGGAACCTGGCTTGATTGTTTTATATCCCCATTGAGCTGCAAGAAACTTGGTTGGCACCGGCTCCCAGCGGCAAAGGTGGCTCGGACTCTATCCCGGGCCAGCTGGTCTTCGTCAGGTCCTCAAAGCCCTCCCGGCAAGACTCTAAGAGGTCCAAGTTGTACTGCGCCCCTGGCAGAGCGCAAAAATGACCCGTCCAAAATTAGATTCTGATCTGGGGAAATTTTTGATTTTGCTGATTCACCGCCACCTTTCAAGAATTTGACAACCTGGCCTGTAGAAGCCAACAAATTGGCATTCTCGGCATCAAGTAGAGGTGCAATGTTGGCTGATGCACTCTTAGCCTTTGTCTTTACTGCCTTGCCTTTTCCCTGGCCTTTAGCCTTTGGCTCCGCCGCATTCTTCTTCGGACTCATTTCCGAATTGATCCAAAATTTGCTGCTAATTAGACGGAGGACCCTTTGAAGGTGGAATTTGATTTTTGCGGGTCATTACTTTGGGTCATCAGGCACTGCCAGGGTTAAATAAGTATTTGCCCCCATCGTCATTGCTTTGAAGAACATGTTGATCTGGGACTTCAATGGGGCCACTGGGACTTGCAATCTAATTCTATTGCCAAGCAGATATAAGATAAACCATCGATCACATCCCTTGAGCTTGTCGATTCTTGGGGTTTGTTTGGTGGTGTGGTGAGTTGCAATTATGTCTGGTATAATCCGGATGGTAAGACTCTTTAAATTGAGTTGGTCCCTTTCTCTTTGGTGTTATCTATGAAACCAAAATTGTTATTGATAATAAATCCGTTTGAACATGTGAATATGTTAAATGTATACTGGTGTTGCCCCCCATCAAAAGAGTCTTCATGTCATCATCGAAGAAGTTTTGCCTGAGGTCATCAGCTTTGCCACTCTAGATGATGAGCTGGACATGGAAGGCGCTTTCAACATACTGGCAGTGGTTTTGGGGACCACCAAAGTGAGAAAACGTTCATCCCCAATCATTTTGACGATGGATAACTTCAAGTGTTGCGGGTGATGTTGATGGCTCTAAATTTCACATTCTAATATTTTAAACTTTTGGCTGCAGTTAAGCAAATCACCTTGCACAGGAGAGGGGCAGCCAGCCCCTATCCCCTGCAAGGTCCGTAGCGCTCGGGACCTTGCACCACCTCTCCCCACCGTAGATCGGAGCATGGGTTTTGACCTTGCAGCCCCCCATTTGTAATATTTTTAACGAGCTGTTAAGATAATCATACTCAGGCTGTGCAAGGTCCGTAGCGCTCGGGACCTTGCAGGAGAGAGGGGTCGGCAGCCCCTCTCCCGTGCAAGGTGATTTGCTTAACTGCAGCCAAAAGTTGAAAATATTCTGGGCATTTAATTTACCACCATTTAAGGATCCATCCACCACCAGGAAGCACAAGCCATTTTGCCGACGATGATCAAATCCCCAGACCAAGATTTTGTTCAGTGGGAAACCTCCACTCAGAAACTAAAGTAAAGTAAGATGCTAATCTTTAATTAGCAGGTTGCTACCTTGAGCACTGATTCACTGCTTCTCCCCGCCCTCCTTCTGGACCCTCTCTTCCTCCAAGACTCGCTTCTCTTCACGTTGGGTGGCTTGTAGCCAAAGGTCATCACAACTGCAATCCTTCGAAATGCAAGTTATGGTAAGGTTGTCCCGCCTCAGTTGGAAATATGATTGATGAAAACAAGTTCCTGGGCCGCTTAGTGTTGGGGCAAAACGCAAAATTCTACTACGTCAAATCTAGGCCACTCATTCAACCATTTCCTCCAATAGGCCATGTAACACGAAAGACAAATACGATCGAACTTGAGAAGCTCCAATTCAGTCCACACTATCAGCATTGCGCAGGGAAGGAAGGGCTAACTACAGCAATGACTTAAGCAAAAGAGCTTCAAACAACCAGCTTACATTGATAATGTGATATCATGGCTAGCTTGTGTAAAGGTTCAAGCCCAGCCACCTTTTCTTCTGATCGCTTTCTGTTCCAGGTAGAATCCCAGCATAGATTTCGATCGACCCAAACAACAACCGGTGGGTTGTTGCACAGGACCCCTTAAACCACTGAAATAGTCATACGCAGTCATTTTGACTTGCGTTTGCTCCAATAACGTACCATGGGCTTTTTCCCATCAACTTCTAAAAACAAACCAATAGCGTCTTTCGCTGTCAGTTTCAGCTTGATGGGACGCAGTTCCTCAGCTATAGCTGTCGCGGGATTTGAAAATACAATTTTAAGGGGTCCTCAAACCTCTGTTTGGGCTGCAAAACCTCAAATTAAATTGGCATTTTCAATTTTAAACCATTTTCGAATAGCACTTTCTGGGCCCAAATTCCCTCTCAGAAACCCAGCTTCCACATCACGGGTTTGTTCCTGATCTGTCACGAAGGCAGTTGCAGTGGCGCCAACGGTCTTGTACTTGGCAGCTCGCTCCTCGGAACCAAGGGCTGGGAGACGAGTTGTGTAATGAAACATAAATATTCGGGCGAGAAAAGGGAACCATTGAATTGACAACCAAGTTTCCAAGAATTCTTTTTTGTCATCAATCAGTGTCCAGGGGTTGATAGTTTCCCTACCCACGACAGCCGCTGCCCGTGGATATTGCAAGCGAAAAGAAGCACTCATCCAGCATATTCGTCGCTGAGAAGATGGTACTTGCCTAGTTCGTGGAAAGGGTGTGAATGGTGCAAAAGCCAAGAACAGCAGTTGTGAAACTGACCCTATAAAAAACCAAACAAATGCAGTCTAGGCACTTGTATCCAATCATCATGCCATTTGTGCCCTTGCTGGAGAAATAACTTGGTGATGCCACGTACCTTTGTTGTGACATGTTAAACTGTTGGGACAATAATAGAGTTGAAGTGGGGGTACTCCGTATAAGTGTTGTGGGTAAAAACAACGACCAATGATATTCACAATTCATCCTAGCCACAGCCCCTTCATGAATGCCAAAAATGCAACACTTAAAGTGGGCTTCAGCGGGTTGGACTGGACGGCGATGTTGATCAAATTCCTCAGAGAAAAAGGTTGGATGTGGAAAAAAAACCTGCTAACTTTTTTCATTTGCATTTTCCAATGGCCGAATTAACATCCGGGAAATAATAGGAAACATAATCAGCTTCTGGAAATCTAGCATGTGAACCCAGAAACAGTGCCACAGTCGAACGGGCCCCACATTCAGAAAGAGATTTTCTCAGCTTCGGGGTCGACAAAGATGTAGGGAGAAAGACCTTCATGTTCTGAAACTCAAGAATCTCCCCGGGGGGACCTTCCACAGCAGCATCACCTTAGAGCCATGGACTTGAAGTTGAAAAACCATCTTTGGTATTAAGAACCAGCTTGCAAACGAAATACACAGCGAATTTGGTTGAGGGACGATTTTCCAAATCTTTCAGATATAATTTCCGACGTTTTCGGTCCTCGGAGTCTTGTTCAGCAGCTTCTTGACGTAGGCGAATTCGTCTCTGCCCACTAGCAAAAATCAGTCCTTGTTGGAAAGCCTTGACACCTAAGTTTCGCTTTCGGGTGGACTCCATGATTACAACCAGTTCGTAGAAAACACGACAAGCAAGTGAGCCCCCTGAAGCTGAATACTTGAAATCCTGGGGACTTCACAATGCTGAACAGGGGCCAAAAAATTAGTATATATTTTAATTGAATCAAACCACGTTTCTTCCTTACTTGGCAGGAACTGCGATCCTTTTCCTTTTGATGGGCTTCTGACCACAAATTGGACGCCAATCTCTGAACTTTTTGGTGTTGGGCATCATGAGATGATGGATCATGCTTTGCCTTCACTTTCTCCCGACGCCTCCTTAACCAGCTAGCAGCGTTTGCCCAAGCCGAGTTCCCAGGTGTTTTGGTGGACTTCTTGCTCTTTCGCATCGAGAGCCGCTTGGTGGACTCGGTAAAGCTGGAGCGTTGGCATAGTCAAGATAGTGGCATAGTTAAACTATTCAATTCGTAGAAATGGCCAATCAAAAATACTATAAGATATTGAAAGGAGTCGAGTCGCCTTCCTGTGGGAGCCGTAGTGGGTTGCCTTTGCTTGAAAATGGGCGAAGCAATGACAAATTTTGTTTTTGGGGATTTTCAGCCATGCTTAAATAAAATGTAGGGACAAAATGACATCCCAAATAAAGGATAGGCCCCAAAGCTACTTACTAGTCGAAATCCAACACACATGAAGAAAGACTTTATTAATTGCAGTTAGGTCTCCCATTCCTCTTGTGCCATCATGACCAACCTTATGATGGGATTGCATGGGTCAATGATTCCCCCGCACAGTTACTTGGTTGCGGTGGCGGTACAATCTTTGGACAGTTTTAGTTGTTGGAAACCATGAAACCATTATCAGGCCCCATAATCATACGTTGCGAAGCTTCTCAGTTATAATTTAATAAAGCCAAAAACAAAATTCAATGGCCGACGATAAGGAACTGTTGCCTCCCCGATTCTGGATACTGGATAGCCAACACTTCATCTGAAGCCAACTCTGGAGGGACATCTCGTTTGACATGCCTAGCCCATGATCCAATGGAAAACGAGCGTTCCACTCCTGAAGAGCTGAACCCCCAAGCAGCGCATCTTATGAGAACATAAGTCAACAAATCCGTTGGTTGCTTCTCCATCTTAACCTCAGGAGCGGGAGTGAAATCAAAAAAGGGATGATGAACGTGTTTTTTACATATAATTTAATGAGCTGATTGCGTTCATTATTGATTTGATGCGGAGACTCGAAGCATGAGAAGATTGCCTACCATGAGAAGATTGCCTACAGTGAGAACCCTTGAGTCATCAGCTGCACCACTGTGAAGAACAATGGTGGCAAGAGCTACAAAAATACTCTTGGTGACCACAAGGGCGGCCACCTATGGACCGTTGGAGGCAGTTGGACGAGCAAGGAAAGTCACCCGACACAGCAGCTTCCTTGGCATTGGGGGAGTGGCAACCTTCATTGGCGCGGGACGAACCTTTCGTTCATCCTCCAGTTCTGCGACTAGGAGACAACTCATTCACCACACTGGTGGAAGCGGCAGCCAACTAGACTATATAAGCGGGTTAAAAATAACAATGATAACAGTGATAGGTTTACATGCCCATTTACTAACTTCAAAGACCCACTAGCTGGAAATCAAATCGCTGATGATGATGATGACGATGATGATGATGATGGTGGTGGTGATGATGATGATGATGTTGTTGGTGACGTTGATGATGATGATGATGATGGTGATGATGGTGGTGATGATGATGATGTTGTTGGTGACGTTGATGATGATGATGAGGAGGAGGAGGATGTGGAGGATGAGGATGAGGATGATGCCGATGATGCCGATGATGCATGATGATGGTGATGATGGTGATGGTGATGATGGTGGTGATGATGATGATGATGATGATGACGATGGCTATGACAATGACACTGACGGTGATGATGAGCTACATCGTGACGGCAACAGGGAGAGTAGGATACAGGTGTTTTTCTTCGATGACAATCATGGCGTTATCTTCGATGATAATGATTATGATGAAAATGCTGATAATGATGATCATCCTGGCAACAAGTATTTTGGTCATGTTGACGATGAAGTGTGGTTGATGATGATGGTGATGAATGTGGTGATGATGATGATGGTGATGATGATGACAGAGAATGGTGATGATGAGAATGAGAATGATGATAATCATGATGACGATGATGGTGATGATGATGATGATGATTTTGATGATGATGATGATGATGGTGATGATGGGGGTGATGTTGTTGTTCCCCTTTGATGGTGTTGTTGTTGTAGATGATGATGATGATCATCATGATGATGGTGACAATAATTGTGGTGATGATGATGATGATGATGATGATGCTGATGATGATGATGATGATGAGAGCAAGCTCATGACTACATGATGGCATTGTAGTAATGTTGGTGAAGCTGATGAAGTTAATGATGTTTGTGTTGATTATGGTGATAGTTTGATGATGTTGATGACGTTGATGATGATGATGATGATGAGGAGGAGGAGGATGAGGAGGAGGATGATGATGATGATGATGCTGATGATGCATGATGACGGTGATGATGGTGATGATGTAGATGATGGCTACTATAGTAATGTTGTTGCTGATGATGATGTTGATGATGGTGATGATGTTGATGATGTTGTTGTTGATAATCATGATGATGCAGCCCAGCAGCAGCCTTGACCCAGGACTCCAAAGCCCCCATGTTCCGCAAGGATTGCAGTCCGTCGGCTACAGGCCGCACTCGGGAAAGTTGGATCAGCAGTTGATCCTTGGAAGGGCAAACCGGGATTGATTGGGGTAACTCAACAATTAATACGAGAATACTGAAAACAAAATCTTGACAGGAAACATCCGCCCTGAATTTGTCTAGTGACATGGTCAAGTTTGAAGAAGGTGGCAATTCGTTTTGACACTGCATCCCCAGTCTTGTTGTTTTCCAAGTCGGAGAAAAACGAACTCATTGTGGCCAAGATTTCCCAATCAGGGACCTCCGCTTTCACCGCGGCTTTGATGAGTTGAACCCAATTGTGAAACCTGGGTTTGTTTTTTTGCAACAGGACCCAGCCCAGCTTTTAATAAATTTGGGGGAACTGAAACCAACTAAAAACCCACAATTTATGTGAAAGGAACCGTGCGGTTACTCTGTCCACCATTTGTTGCGGAACTTTGCCAGGGCCCCCCAAACTCTTGAAGGAAACGGCCCCCCCAGGCCGCATGATCTTGATCAAGAGTGGTTGCTTCTCCAGCCTCCTCCTTAGTGGGCAATGTTCTCAAAGGCATATGGGCGGTTAGCAATGGTGTTTATAGCTTATAATGTTCTTATTCGATAAAACAAATAAAATTCCAATGGTGTCTTTTGACATGCATTTTGGATTTGATCAACGCCGCCAGTGTAAAGCCAAATGACCTCATCAAAGCTGAATAGGCGCCGACAACTTTCCAGCAGCATCCTTTGCTGAACAAGTAGGTGATGGTCTCCAAGAACCTGGGTTATCAAAAAAGGGTATGGAAGTTTCCGATAATATGTTGCCATCTATGAGAGTGTGCATCGTCGTTGATTGCCATGTTAAATCCACACCCCACACCTCGTATCCCATGATGACCAAGAAACCGTGACAGCATCTGGTTGACGCTGAGGGGATCGAAATCCTCTTGGTCGCAGTACCGCAAGATGGACATGTGTTCATCGAAGCTGTCGGCCAGGCATGCCAACGCCCTGGGAGGTGAGCGGGTTTTTTCAATCACCCCAAAATCAGGGTTTTAGGGCTTGGGTTTATCATCCTTAATCCTTAATCACTTATCAAGGGCTAGCCCCTGCTGTAATGGAAGTAGAATATAGTGGATCCGGACCCCCGGGCATTTCCCTGGCAAGGTGCAAGCAATGCTCGAGGGTTAATTTCTCCAAGAACTGCTGCATACTGCGTCCTTCAGCCTCAAAAGACGGAGGATAAAATTTGGTTGGTAATTAATGGAAGGGACTCAATTTGGTTATGATCTTAGATTCGGATTCTTATAAACTTTGTTTGTTTCCTGATTTAGATTCATTTTGGTTATAGACCCTGATTCCGATTATATATTGTTCTTGTTGGGTAGTATGTGGAAGGGATTATTCAATCAAAGTAATGAATGGTCCTGATTCTTATTTGTTTGGGATTAAGATACCCACCCGCCTTCGAATCAAATCCATAATTCATTTTATTTTTGGTCATGAACTATACCCCATCTGAAAAATAGCTACTCCCTTGGACCGATAACTTAGGCCATATTTTTGTTCATTTGCCAAGGTGCACGGTTGCGCCTCTCCATAGCGATTCCTTCCTTGGTTTTTATGTAGCAGCAGCCTTTTGACTAGGTAATCAAAGATAGTGAAACCATGGGCCAAATCGTAATTTTGCTCTTTGTCCTTTGTGCTGGCAAAGGTGCGGCTGTTCGAATCACTGCTTCAAAATGAATAGTCATTCGGCCGATGGGAGTCCGTAAAGACTCAAACCTTGGATTCGCCGAAGCTTTTGAACGGACATAAATTCTTTGAGATTTCATCTGATCTGTCATAAAATCTGACAGCCTGACATAAACACAGTGTATCAACTTAAAATCTCAAATTGTTTTTTGGGGGCCAGTAACCGATGCTTTGCAGCCGAGAGGGTGGAGCACTTCCAACCCAAGTTTTTCTCCACTTCATCCGAAAACCGCGCCTGGCCAACAGTTGGGCAGTTCAAACCCCGTCAAAAATATGTCAAAAGTATCGCGAGTCAGTCAAAATGTCCAACTTTTTTTTTCAATCTTGCTGCGTCTGCCGTGTTCCAAAATTTTGGTCAGCCGGCCATCAGAATCTTAACTCTGACTCAGGCACACAAATATAAAATGAAATTCAGGCCAACTCATCTCTGTACTGAGAGTCGGGGCAAGGTTTCGAATGTTCCTCACCTTCCTCTGTCTTTGCCTCCTTGCTCTTGTCAAGAGGTTCCGCCTTGATTTTAGGGCTGGAAGCGCGTTTTTCGAGAATCTTGTTCTTGACTTTCCCCAACAGGGACGATGGCTTGGGCGAAGGTGGTGCCCTGAATTGTTTTTGACAGGCCCTCAAAACAATTCTAATGCTTTTGGTTGTCAACCCAAAATTGAAGTATCATCCAACAAAAAAAGGTGCCTTGAAAGTAGTCATGGGTCGGTGCAGGAATGGGTTGGGGGTCAAACCCAGTGTCACAGTCGCTGTCTGATTCTCCAAGAACCAACGTCTTGCGTCCGGGGGAGTCAATTGCCATCTCAATGGGGTCTTCAACAGGCTGCGAATCCATGGCAGGAATGAGAGTGCAGCACGGAACAATTTCTAAAGTTTGATCTGCGAATGTGCTATAGATTAAAATATTAGTTTCGTGAAATCATCGGAGGATCACTGATGCAATCTGTTTTGAACGGGTGACCTCCCATGACCCTTCCCAATTCCCCTGCCTTAAACAGCGGTGAGTACTCAATCAATTTGGCAGGGCCATCCAGAAAAAGCGATAGCCTGGGCGGTGGGTGGTGACACAACAAAAACAAAGTTGAAAATCGAAAAATGAAGTGAAAAAGATCTTCAAATTACAGTTATCCCAATGCAGCTCTTTAGGAATTAAAAGGATCAGTCCAAGCAACGTTTCCTTCAAGAAGCTGTCGGTGTATGACGGTCGCTTTCCAAGCCTGACCAGGATGCAAAAACAACAAATATATTAGTCGTCGTTCTTAAACAAGCTTTGTCATTATTGACACTGATCGTGACATGGAGCTTCGTGTTTCAGGCCTTCTGACAGAATGGCACAGATCGCGACAAGTCGCTTTGATGTTCGGGAACAAAGCAGATCCAAACGAACCACCAAGAGCCGCCTAGGTTTAAATCTGTTAACACTGAAACTGGCTGAAAAATTATTAATCTGAATCGAATCTGAACCACCCCTAATCTCAGCCAAGTAACCAGAGCCAACTGCTCATCTGGGGCTCCATCAGCGGTAAGAAACTCCACGCGGTCAATGAGCAAGTCGTAGATCTTCTTGTAGGCAGTCCTTGCAGAGTTGAGTTGTAAGTGGGAGGGTAGTAGTAAGCCAAGTGTTCAAAATATTTCAAAACCGCTGTTGTTTTTTCCCAAATCAAAAAAGGTTCCTCTTCTTTTTCGAGTAAGGCATTCGTCTTTTAGGCATAGCAAACTCCCGCAGGATCAGTTCGGTTTGTTCCTTGATTTCCAAAGCATGCACCTGCTTCATCGAACTTAGCCTTGCCACACCGATCATCCCAAATTGGTTTTCAAGACTGCTGGTCGCCGCCCCGTACCTGACACTTAGCCAACCATTGCATCCATCCTGTAGGATTGACACCGATTCGGCATCCGACCTCAATTGTCACATGTTGTCATCAGTGCCAGTAACCAGTGGTAACCAAATGAAATGGTAATTATTAAAACGTGCTCATTGAAAAACTCAAAATCAGTAATTTGTCAAGATGCAGAAAGGCTATTGTCAATTTCCTCGCGGCTTCGCCCAAGCAAGCCTTGAGCTTGCGAAGTTTCTCCCTTCCCTTGGTTTGTGAACCGCTTTTGAAAAATAATATGCCCCACTTTAAACGCTGCGTAAATCATGTCTGTCACGGTAAAGCCTAGGCACAAAACAACCTTCTTCGGGTCCATTGTTTCCAGCAGCCGTCCTCCGAAGAATTCGATGAAACATCGCAGCCGAAGGCACCTAGAATGCGGTGGAAGGGGTTGATGTTTCAAAAAACAAAACGGGGCATGCTGTTTCAAAAATGAAAGTTAGCCGCGTAATGCAGTATGGTATAGTAAGTCCCAAACTACCTGTCCATCTACGATCGCATGAATCGATGAGTTCTCGTCCTTGGCCATGGCTAACTTGTGGATACGCGATGCCGCGTGCTGCTCCAACGCCTGCTTCCGGACTGTAGCCTCAGATGTGGACAGTTGCTATAGTCCCACAAAACAAAACTTGGGATATTGGTAATGCCCTGGACCAAAACTCGAACAATGCAACGCCTGGCAACAGATCTGCATGCTCTAAAAGTGCTCCAAGTTGATTTCATCCCAGACCTATTGCGGATGCTGCAACCCAAGCCCGTTTGGGTGACCTGAAGCCATTGGTGCTCTTCCTTCCATGTAGACCAATGGCTCCACACGTGTTTGTTCCACTCCTCAATCCGTTACAATCCGCGCCAGTGTGGGATGAATGAAACAATCTTCATCTAATTCACTGAATCAAAATTGCCAAGTTTCAGCCCATTCTTTGCCAGTTAGCGGAGGCATTGCTACTCGACGCTTCTATGCTGTTATGAATTTTGTTGCTGCTGTTTGGTGGGAAAACACCTATAATGGCCCATAGCCTATGTAGGACAAAAAGTGTATTCTTAAACTTAGTTGTTAAAGAACTCAATGACTTGTCCAAACTTGGGATTATTGACATGGAGCCACCTACTACAGAGCGGTGCTTCAGCCGCAGGTGAATTAAGCAAAATGCTGCGTCCATAAAAGGTGGGATCCCGAATTCAAAATGGCAATTTGTCCAACCATCCAGTGTGAAAGAACTCAACCAAGCCATGCAAATCTTAGGAAAATAATTTGGATTTTTCAACTAGCAGTCCCACATGGTTGAGATAAAAGACCAGAAATTGAGTACTTTCTAATTCGCCACTGTTTTGAACCCTTGGCCACTGGTCTAGGCCTCTGGCGGGCCAATGCGCAGCACCGCAGCCACCACCGCAGCCGCCACCACCGCGGCGATAATCGGGTTTGTTTGACATGAGGGATGGTAATTTAGTGGAGGGAAAAGAAGATCATCGAAAATAACCAATCATAAAGCATGTCTACCATGTAAGGGGATAAGAAAAAACAGAATTAATGAATTTAGGCCAACGTCTTTTGAACCATCAACCCCATGGGGGGTCCATAGTAAGCTTGAAATTCTGTGAGTCAGCCAGGTCAGCATTTGATTATTTGACTATGTTAACAGCTGGCCAGTAGAACAGACCTCACAGAAGATGATCGTGAGCTATCTGCAATTTCATGGGCAAAACCCGGGTTTCCTCTGACAACCATCTGTTGATTACCACTAGAAGAGCTTGACAAATTAAGTGAGCTCGAAGTTCCTGAGTGCATTGTCGCTCGAAGGTGCAATCAAGGTTCAATCGTACGAATGATGAGGTACGCCCCAGAACCCAGCAGTGAACGCACGTGGCACCAACTGAGAAGACGCGTGCCTCAACACCTGATCGATGTCCTGAAACTGTCCCTGGCGATGGAAGTGAACTCCTACCACCCCACGTCCCTGCACCGCTTGGATGACACTCCACTTGTCGTCGCAGCGCAAATGACAAGAATCTGAATTTACCGGATGCTTGTTCTGATTGGAAGTGATGAACAAATGACAAAGCTGGTTCAAAGGAATTCCTCTGTTCTGCAACTGTCGATTAAGATAGGTCACAGCAGCTTCCAACTCTCTTCGTTTTTGACCAGAATTCCTACCACCCCAACCGATATAGGAACAGATTCCCACTTGATGGTTTGGAGACCTTGCCAAAAAGGATGCAATGGCGTTAGCCGCCGATGTTCGAATCCCGTCGTATGTGCTAGCCCCGGCCACTTCACAATTCAATGTGTTATGATAGTCCAGCGACACACGAACTTCAAGGGGACGAGAAGCAACAGCTGGTGCCAATCCCGAAGGCAATGGATTTGATGGGGGAAACCGATCTGGTACAGGGGCCACTTGGTATTTCGGAACCGAAGCACTTCCAAGTAAACTCTTGGCAACTACCGCCTCACCTTTCGCCTTTTCGTTACGGAGCTCTACAGGTGCGGCCTTGTATGGGAGTCCTGAAATAGAAACACTAGATCCAGCAGCTGGAATGATCTTTGCAGACTCAGCTTCGGCAATAGGAGCAACCCTAGTAGATACCACTGAACTGGAAGAACCCTTTGGATCCGAACCACTTGAAGCAACCTTTGGGGATTCAACCTCCTTCGCAACAACCTTTGGTGGAGGAGGCGGAGGTGGTTGAAAGAACGACTTCCCTTTCGGGGGTGTTTTGGGAGCAACCACCGGAGCACTACTTTCCACCGATGCCCACGGTGGAATTCCCCCTTGATCAAAAACCGTTGGGACACGTGAGGTTCCAGGCTTTGGGATTCCAACAGAAGAAACAGTGATTACAGGCCCCTTCGCCTTTGCAATTGGGACTGAAGCCACTGATGTTGTCACCCTAGGACCCGCAGAACTCGAACTAGGACCAGATGCCTTTGGTGGTGGTGGACCCGGTACAGGAACAGAAGATGGAACAGCCCCTGCTTCAAAGTCTACCCAATGACACGACCGGCCCCTTTTGGAGGTACGAATGGATTCTTGAACCTCTTTGGAATGAACTTACCTTCCAAAAACTGAGCTTGAAGTTCTCTTTGCCTATTTACCCTCTTACCCCACCTTTCACCACGAAACTTGAGTTTTGGCTCAGGTTCTTTCACAGGAGGCTCCTTTGGAGGGGTATCTGACATCCAAATCCCTTACGCTTAACCCAAGACACTCTGTCCGGTCCGCGCAAGCGCAGGTCACCGGCAGCCAAGGAGCAAGTGCAAAAGATCCGCCACCAAGTGCCAGACAGCAACAATGGGAGCACACCCCAATGGCGAGACGAAAAGGCAACGAAGGACAAAGACAAACCAAACGAGCGAACAGACAGAGACGAGCCGAGACAAAACCCAGAGGAACTACGGCTGATAACCTAGTTTTCAAGGTTTCAGCTTAGTAGAGCCCTTTTTCTTGAGCCAAAGCAAAGCACGAGATACAAGTTTATCAAACCTAGTTGAAGGAATGATATGGACCTAATACGCAGTATGTTACAGCTGCAATGGAGAAACTAAATATCATGTCAATATTAAACAATACATCGCACACATAGATCACATAGTATCACACCTACAGCTTGGTCCAATGGATCCAAGTTCAACCAGTTCAACCAGTTCAGCCATGACAACTGCGGTGACTGCAGCGCCTCTTGGATGTCGGGCTTCAAATCCAAGAGTTCAAACACGCGCTGCCCAGCGCCTGGCATCACTTTGCAGCGGTGTAAATTGGGGACCTAACAGGTAACCAGGTGACCAGGTGAACCAAAGTGGCCCATGTTTGGTCCATTTTGGTCCCTGAGTTCTTGGAATTGAAAGCTCCGGACCTTGGGTATGCTGTATAGTTCATTGTTTTCTTGCACCATGGATCACCACGGTGTTTTTGTCGGCACTTGGTCACTTGGTCACTTGGCACTGGGAGGCCATGTGCA